GAGTGAGGTTGTTCCGAGTCGCGGTATGTTTCTGTCCATTGAGCGGTCATGGGACAGTTGAAACTTGCAGGAAGCGCTGATATGGAACAACTCCCAGTTGAAACTGACGTGTTCATACAAGTTCGCACTGCCTTCTTCCAACTTGGCTGGTACCGAGGCACGCAGCAAGTTCAGACGGTGCCCTTGCAGGGGTGCGGCCAGGGTTATATACAGACCATGTCCTTACTGGCGTTCGCTGCAGGAATGTTCAACAGCTCCGATTTGCTTCAGCGTTTCGCGTCCGGGGTTGTGTGTTCATGACTCTGTTAACCTCCAGCCACGACCCTCGAAAACTAAACCCGACCGAAGTGCAGTACTAAAGGGGTCGGCGTAGCTAGTAATCGTTTCCATGTATAGGATATTATAAGGTTCCATGTATCGGCGTCGGGCTGCCTTGAAATCGGGAGTCCTTTCCTTCGAGCATTGCACGAGTTAAAGAATGATACAGGAGCCATAAACAGAGTTGGTTTGGGGTATATTATACTGTACTTACAAGGGAATACTAGTAACTGCAAGTACTAGTTAGTCATTGCGATCGCTGTATTCTATCGGGGGGCCACAGTGTTTTCAAGCTTCCCCTTGCGCACGCACAAATTGACCAAATTCAACCTCTGCCCCTAGCCTTAGCTGCCCTTGCCCGAACCCTGCACGCCGCCGAAACACCTGGAAAAGGCATAAAACATACATGCCGTGACTTGCGAATATCCTAAATCTCCTGACTCTCAACCCCGAGAAGTCCTCCGATAACACCCGATGCACCCCATTTTGGATCCCGGAAACCTAAACAACAAAATCCTTCAAGCCCTGATCCTGCCTAGTACCCCAGCCTTTAACCTCCTGAACCCTATAAATCTCCAAAAGCCTTAAACCCTAAACCCTAAACGGGGCGAGGCAGCCGTGCTGGCTTCTGGAGACCTCCGAATCGGAGCTACGCCGCTCGTCTGCTTGGGTTTGTCGAGTTTGTTGGGGGTTTAGGGTTTAGGTGAGTGTTGGAGAAGCGGGTTAGGGGCTTCCCTCTGCCTTTGCCTTTGAGGCTCAGGTTGTGTATACGACAAGGTGTAGGGATGTATAGGCTGCCGGGGCGTTTCAGCGGGTTGTTGGCTCCAGGGCTTCCGGACTGTCAGTGCACAATTAGGAGATTGCGCTCCAGGGTTTCGGGTTCAGCAGCGCCTCAAGCCCAAATATGCACAGTACTGGTACTGGTACCAACCGTGACGGGGTGGAGCACTCTGCTGTCTTGGTTCATTCCTCCTGCCAGAACCGTGATGATTCAAAATGTTACCTTTTGTACAGCTACTGCCGTTAGTATTATCACAGTTCTTCTTCTCATGAGTATTATTATTATCATTAGAAGAAGAAGCCGTAGTAGTCGTAGTAGTCGTAGTAGCAGTAGCAGTAGCAGTAGTAGTAGTAGTAGTAGCAGCAGCAGCAGCAGCAGCAGAATCCGTAGTGGTATTGGGATTATTATTTCTGATACTGATACTAATACTGACTGTTATGCTATCCTACTATGACCTAGTGTTACCAGAACTGATTCTGCTTGTATATGCTTGTGATAACTACGTTTATTTTGACGCTTATTGATTGTCATAACTGTGATTCTCAATGTGTTGCCCAAGAGGAGATGCCTCGGAAGAGCTGGGGCCTTGATTTGTTTGCGGGGGACGGTTTAGAGTGTAGTGTCATGCTTTGCCGAGGCCTTTGGAGAATTGGGTTTAGAGGGTTTGGAGCTTAAAGTTGATGGGGTTTGCGTGGGTAGGGCTAGGGTTCGGGGGGTCGAAAGGGGGTATTGGAGGCTTGGGCTCTAGGCGTTAAGCTCAGGGCTTCGGCTTCTGGGTGCAAGCTGTTGGGCTGTTGGTCGAGGCGGTGAGTCAGGCAGCTTGTCACGGTGCCATCGCTAGCAAGCCCGAGCACAAGTGTTTGTCATGCTTCTCAATCGGCCGAAGCGTTGTGAAATCCCATAAACCCTTAACCCCTAATCCCTCAACCCGTGCCTTTGAACATGTGGTGGGTTACTAGCAGCAGAAGCGAACGCAACAAAAACACATTCGTGCAGTTTCCTTGACCTTAACCTCTAAAAACCCAAAACCAACCTCCCTCCCCCCTAAAATCCGACATGTTTAGACACCACGCCTTAGCATTTGAACTCTAAGCCTCTGAACCCCAAGCCTTAAGCCCCTGAGCCCTAAATCTCTACGTCCCAAACCTGGAACTCGATATCCTGGGCCTCCCTTTTCTTGTTTTGAATAGAATACTCCGTATTATGTTATGTTGTATTAAGTCAGCACTTATATTAAGTTCCAACTCTTACAGTACAGTAGAGTATAGAATAGTACAGCATAGTATGGTGTAGTATGCATTTTCCTGAGGCCCCCGATTCCTGCACCACCTCCCGTCCCTGTGACCGTGGAGGCTGAGGCAGGCAAGCTCAAGCAGAAAAGGATTAGTTCTTGCCAGCTGAGAAAAGATCCAGAAACATCCGGAACTCCCAGGAAACTAAGCAAAGCTACAACAAAGTAACCAAAGCTATGAAGCGCAGTGAAAACCTAAGAAAGGCTATGCGCAACTATAAAAGACTACAGAATTCCATCTAACATTCTTGCCGCGATATCTTGTAGCACACACTTTCACTTTGCCCAAAGCGGCGCATTTCCTCCACTATCGCCATTGGCGGTTTAGAGGCCTCCACATCAACATTTCCAGTTGGCCCTGAAGCCTGGACAAAGTTAGGAAAGCAAGGGCAAGCAAAAAACAGCAGAGACAGAACAGCTAACAAAGGCAATAAATCGAGCTCTCTCTAGAAAGTCGGCTTTGCAGCGCGACTTCAGGACGAATCTAGCATGTCCTCTTCGCGCTGTCAGACCTTTTGTAAATCCTGTAAGACAAGAACCCATGAGAGAAGATTCGTTCTCTTCCCTCAATTTCTCACCTGATTCAGGCTTATGGCTTACAATTTCAGGTGTGGGATTGGAGAAGGATTTGGCTTCAAGGCTTGTGACAGGACAGAGTCGTCATCTAGTTCTAGTGATTTTCCTGAAGTATCGAACCCCAAGACTGCAACACCCTCCCGCTCAATCCCTACGATTAAGGGCCCACAAGGATCCATGTTCCCAATATTTGGGTCCCTTTCTGGGTCTGGTTTATATAAGGCTGCATACTACTTCGTACTTTGATGGCCGAACAAGGGACCATAATTCAGAGAATTGCCCATTTCTGTACTTTGTAGTGTTTGTAGGTGTGTGTCCAAGGTAGACTTTGAATGGACACTCGAACCCTTAAGGCGCCAGAGGGCATGATTCAATGATGTCCCCTAAAAGTACCTTGAAGTGCAAAGCACCTGCCGAAGTTTCCTCAGGCCCCCAAAGCACGGAACTTGCATGTACACGCCTCAGCTAGTGGAAACCATGTTGTGGGACAACGCCTTGGGAATCAGCGCCAAACTATGGTGTTCTCACCTTTCCCAGAGTTTTCGGTTCGCAACCCGAACTCTGAGAAATCCAAAAACGGCACGTGAGAAGGCAACAGGCTCGACACCAGCGCCACCCTCTGCGGCTACCTTGCAGGAGGACGGCTTTGGGAAATGGTTTTGGGTGGACTGGAATCTCGTCGTTAAGGCTTCAGCTTCTTGCCACTGCCATAGTGCCCAAAGAGGATGTCTGCAGCGAGCTGGGCTGAGGTTGCAAAGGCCTCGGAACGCCTCGACATCGTCCACTTTGCAAGTGCGGTGACAACATGGCCCAGAAGCCGCGAAGCTCTTCTGCGATCCCAACCATCCATACCTACTACTTATGTCATCTCCCGGCTTCCGCCAACAACCCCAAAGACCCTTCGAAGTAGGCCTTGGGGGTATCTGGGCTACAATTTTCTCAGATTCGCTGTGCGGAAGGAGTCTCCCCAGCTTGACATGAGCCAGCCTGCAAAGGACGATCCAAAGCAGGCGCGTGCTCTTTGATTGAGTGGTAAGCGAGTACTTTTTGAGCGTAGAAGGTTTACGATTCGCTGCAAGTTGTTGATGTCATTCTGATTCCATCCATCATTTTTACATGCTTTGCCATGGTACTTGACATAGAAACGCAAGCAACGACTCGGAAGAGCTTTCAAACAAGGGAGTGATGCGGAGCGTGAAGTATCGAGGCCGAGATGTTCCCGCCACCACTGCTCATTGGGGGATCAACTCCGACAGTGCAGCATATTATACAGCTGCTCCAGTTGTAGTATTCCTGGGCAGCCAAACGTCGCCGAATGAAAACAAGAAAGGAGGGTTCAGGATATAATTCTCGAACCATGCCAAGTTCGCAAGATCGAAACACCCGAAAGATTCCCTCTTCGAGAAATCTGCCGATGTACCTATGTTCCTCCGTCCGAAGTACGACGAAGTGGACATGACTGTACCGCAATCTTCAATGCCGTTAGTCTGATGACATTGGTGAAACCCGAATCCTCGAAACCCCTAAAGGTAAAACTCGAATCCTCTGAAACCCTAAACCCGAATCCCTAAATCCGAATCCTCTAAACACCCTAGACCTTTAACCCCAAACCAAAGCCCTACCTACCTGCCCACAAGGACCTCCCGCAGCGCTCAGCGGAGCCCTCTGGAGCCGACCTAGGCGACCTTTGGCTTTGGAAGATAGGGCTCTAGGGTTTGGGTTTTAGGGTTTAGGGCTTTAGGGTTTTACGGTTTAGGGTTTGGGTTTTATGCTTTAGGGCTTTAGGGTTTTACGGTTTAGGGTTTTGGGGTTTTATGGTTTAGGGTTTTTGAGTTTAGGGCTTAGGGCCTGAATCTTGGTGGGCCCGATACTGTAGAAGCCTGATTGATCCGTACTATGCCTTATAGACCCCCTGAGATTTTCTAGAATATGCCCCAAAGCCCCTAGTCTTGGGCGGTCGTGTGTTAATTGAGTTTGAAACATGAAGATGCATTTGTTTGACATGTTGCGGACGTGTTCAGACAAAGAAATGGCATGCCCCCGGGTACGGCGACTGCCTTTACTTTTTGCGATTGCTCTAAAAACCCTAAACCCTATTTCCCTCTCCTCCTCTTCCTCCTCCTTCTGTCCGCAGCCATCTTGCGCCCAACCATCGCTACCCCAATCCGGAACACACTCTACATGCGAGAGCTCTCAAACCTGAACACTCCCCCTATAACCCTAAACCCCTGAAGCCCTACAAGTACTACTTTGAATTCGAAGCCCACTCCCTGGGCCTCAAACCCTCATAAGCCATGGACCTTCAGGCCCTGAGCTTGGAGTCCCTATACTATAGAAGTTTAATAAAAATTACCAACATTATTCCTGAGGGTTCCTTACTATGATTATAATACAATAAGGTACCCCAAAATCTGATATCAATCCTGTATCCCGGAACCCTGTCCGAGAGTGAGCGCCGAAACACTGAATGTCAATTCTACATCTTTAAGCCTTGCCTTCAGCCCAACACCCTATACACAGATTAGGTTCTGAACCTATATCTATGGGGGCTCAGCCTAAAATGCAGCAGGTCTTTTTAGATCCACATGCAGCTGAAGACATATAAGTTCTAAATCCCGGGCACTACAAGTGTTGCTGCCCTGCCATGCCTTGCTTCGGCTGCACTGGCTGGCTTTCGAAGCCGCCTCTATTGCAGCAGCAACAGGCCGTTTGCGGTTTAGGGCTGTAGAGTTGAGGACTTTCGGGTGCCGGGGTCACGGCGTTCATCGTGAGATCTGAAGCGATACACCCCCCACCTCCCAGAGATTACGAATTATTCTAACTACTGTAAGAAACTACTTCAAACGACCCTCGGTCAGCTCTGGATTTACCATTGCCCCGTCGCAGGCTCCACAAGTTCACGGAGCCGATATGATTGCAGTGACAACGACGTCGCCGTCGTTTCAGATGCCTTTGGAGAGCCTTGATTTCAAGATTTTTCGCGCAGCCCCACTAGCATATGGGTAGTTCTCTAAATTAGGGTCCCTTTTTTTACACCAAATAGTACGGCACCCTTATAAACAGGATCCTAAACGGGATCCTAATTTAGAGAGCTACCCATATGGTTGCTAACCCACTGGCCTGTGTGTGATTGAGTGCCACAAGCTTCCCGCGCGGGCTGCAGTTGCAACAGAGCAACCCCAGAGCAGGATTTCATTTTAGGCCCACTGCTGGTGAGACGTCAGAAAAGGTGGCATCCAGCTACGGCTTTGCGGCTGAGACGGATGGCGGAGGACCTCAAACGAGGCTTTTAAGGGCCTCAAGGGTTCACATTGACACCCTCCCCAAATCCTAAACCCTGAGCCCTAAACCCTAAACCCTATAAGCCCTAAGCCCTAAACCCTAAACCCTAGCCCTCGCGGTGTCCCGGAAAGGCGGGGAAGAGGGTTTCGAGTTACGGGCTGAGGTGTTGAACCCGGGGGCTGCTGGCCGAGGCTTTGCATCGTATCCCACTCAGAACGTTGACTCACTACCCATAGGCCCTAAAGTAGCTCCTTTTAGGGGTTCATGTTTGAAATCCTATTAGGTAATCCCAAAAAGGAACTACTATGGGGCTTATGGGTACCTATGAAATCTGGGATGAAATCTGGGATCCTTACCCAGGTCGACTATTTTTTTCCGAGCATTCTTGGCAATGAAGGGATCCGTATTCAGAAAAGTTTTGGAGAATTGCCTTTCTGAAGTTTCAGGGATCCTCAAGGGTTTTTACTTACTGCTCAACAGATCCGCTGCAAGGCCCTATATGTGAGCGTACGGACTACCTGCAAGAGATCCGGCACGGCTGCTCTCTAAGCTTCTTCGGACATGGTCTTGTGAGGCTCCGGGTATCCTGCCTAGCAAGTGCTCCCCAAGCTCCATCCGCAAACACAAGGTATTGAAGCGCTTTCCGTCTAAAAGGGCGTATGTTGAACCTGATTACCGGCACCTGGAAGAAGTGATGTTGAAGTTTCTGGCTCGTCTTAGCCCTTCTTCTACAACCCCACTTCACACCTTGAGCCTATAAGCCTCTACCTGAAGCCCCCAACCCTAGACCTTCAGCCCTACACCTTGTTATAAAGTTTATGCCCTGAGCCTAGTGATAGTAACAATAATAATTGCACGAAGCTCGAATTAATTCGAATAATACTAACACGGAGGATGATTAGTAACAAATTGCAAGATGTACCCTAACCCCCCAGGTGCCTACTACATAGCGTAATAGAGCCCCTAGGGCCCTAAATAGTAGGTACCTGGAGGGTTAGGGTATACCATGGTATACCTGAATTCGAAACCCGCACTGTGGTCCCCTACAGAGACGAAGGACGGCCTCGGCCAGCGTGCGACAATCACTGGCTATTCAACGCCATCCACGGCAGATGTGGGAGGTTCGGCAAAGTTTGGAACTTTGGGTTTTTATGTAGGGTTTAGGACTTAGGGTGTTTATGTATAGGGTTTAGGACTTTGGGTTTTTATGTAGGGTTTAGGGTTTGATTCTGTGCTTGCATGGCTGCTTCTGGAGTGATAGAGGTTTAGGGTCGGGCTTGAGGTTTCGTCGAGGGTGCAGAAAGTGCTTAGGCAACAAAGCGTAACATATCGCCTAAGGCGGATGATGTAAAGGTTGATAGAAGGCATGTGATCAAACGGTTGTAGTGAGCTCTTTCTGCGATTCTAGGTCAGTTGCCGTAGATAGAGGTTTGAGGCACTTGGACTTTGCAGGGTTTGGGGTCTGCAGCCCAGGCCACAAAAGCCCGCAGCCGAAATCCAGAAGTACAACCCGGTCAGCTCTCTCTGCAGGGAACCTGTCCATTTCACATCCGAACCAGTGGAAGCCGCAGTCCCTGTAGCTAAACCCTAACCCCCGCAGGTACCTACTATATAGGGTAATAGAGCCCCTAGGACCCTAAATAGTAGGTACCTGGAGGGTTAGGGATAGCTGCAGAAATCAGACTCCTTCCGAAAATGCGTGATGCTTCGGTCCAAGCTCTGCCAAGCCACCACTCATGGCTGAACCGGAAACCCTATAAAAGCCTCACGGCTTATAGGACCCTATGAACCCTCACAGCTCAGGATGCCGCGTAGGATGCATGTACCCATAGGCCCTAAAGTAGTTCCTTTTAGGGGCTCATATATAGAATCCTATAAGGAAACCCCCAAAAGGAACTACTATGGGGCCTATAGGTAGGATCTGAAGCCCTAAGGCCCTCAAGCAGGTGCCTCCCTGCGCTTGCGGATATCGGATCCGAAGCCACCCCTGGCCGGCCAAGGGCGCGCTCGCATGATTTGGGTTGGGGATTCATAGGGTTTAAGGGACAGGGATCTGAGGTTTCAATAACTCGGGATACAACCCTGCACCCCCTAAGCCTAAGCCCTAATCCCTAAACCCTAATTATTCCCAATCCCTAAACCCTAATCCCTAATCCCTAAACCCTAAACCCTAATTTACTAATCAGGAATTAGAGGGTTCAGTGCCAGGGCCTATGGCCGAAGCGTAGACACTGAGAAGTTTTTTAACCCGGAGTAAAAATGAAAAGGGGACCGCTGGAACAGGGTTTAAGGGCGGGTTAGGGCTAATCGGGTTTGGGGCTTATGTTTAAGGCCGGGTTAGGGTTTATAGGGTTTAGGGTTTATGTTTTAAAGTCGGGTTATGGTTTATAGTGTTTAGGGTTGATGTTGAGTGCCGGGTTTGGGTTGATAGGGTTTAGGGTTTACAGGGTTTCGGGGTTAGGGCCAGGGAGGGTACCCTACTGTCGAGAGATTCCGGTCTGCTCCGGACATGGGGGGCTTTGGGGCGTGATCTGTCTTCTAAGGACGCGTGACGCGTGTTTTGGAGTTTCGGATTGGTTTGTGGGGCTGAGGTTGCAGAGATTTCGGCATCAGGTTTTGAGTTTGAGGGGGTGTGAAGAGAAGGGGCGAACTTACAGCGGTGAACCCAAACCCCGAAACCCCGAAACCCCGAAACCCTGAAACCCTGAAACCCTGAAACCCTAAACGGATCATTCGTGGGGGCGAGGGTTTGGTCATTTTGTGGATCTTTCAAGCATAGTGCTGTCGATCGTCCGGAATATCCAGGAGAGATCGGGTATTCTGTGGCAAGGATGTCATCATGTTGATGTTTGATACCTCAGAGCTTAGAACCCCGGCCTTGACAGGGCTGAAAATCGAAACGCTTCAGGAGAGACTGCAGACAAAACTCACTAAAGGCTTCAAGGCTCAGAGATGCAATCTGTCATCTGCCCATTCTTAGCCCATAAATATAGACCCTAAACCCTTTTCAAGAATCCCTAACCCCCACCCTGAGCTCAGTCAGAGTGCTGAGATGTTCGCGAAAACTACCGCGACTTCACTCTTTTGATAGCCCTGACCCGGCAGAGGGGGCAGAGCTAAAATTTGCTGGTGATCATGGGTACCAAGTAGGGTTGCTATACGGTTTCTTAAAGGGTGTTTATAAGGGTTCTATAGGGTTTACCGTGTCTGAGCAACAGGCAGCCCTCGACCCGGACGGTTCGCAACAGAGTTGGAAAGGTAAATGCTGAGCCCCTTAAGCCCTATCCAAAACCCTAAATCCCAAAACCCTAAACCCCGAAACCCTAAACCCCAAACCCGAAAAATCCTTTAGAACCCTAAACCTTAAGAGCCCTAAGCCCTAAGTGCCCCCCAAAGAGGTCCCTGGCACTGGCAGTGCGGCGGGTGCAGGGGGAACCCTGGCTGCCGGCTATCGGAGGCAACGGTTTAGGGTTTAGGGTTTAGGGTATGGTACTCCTTCGGATTTAATGTAGGGGCCTTAACACTTAGAAGAGGGCTTTGTGGTAAAGTATACTATAAATATAGTAAGGAGCCCCCCCCTCAAAAAAAACTCCCAATTAAATATAGGTAATATAGGTAATTGTTAAGGCACCTATGTTGAGTTATTAGGGAGTTTCCTTCATGTCGTGTGTAGTAGAAAGCAAGGGGGCTATTGAGCAAGCTGTCGTATAAACTAAAAACCCAATGTGTACTGACATGTCCAGTCTAGTATGAACGAAGCGGGCGTAATATGAACATATTTATGGCTTTGGGGTTTTGGTTCTGGTAGCTGATAGGATTTGAGCTGAGGGTTGAAGTTGGCTTCCGGTTGGGCAAACGGTCTCACATGGCTTGGTATGTCATAAATGCAAGCAGAAATTCTGAAAGGGTGCAGGGTTCAAAGCCATCTAAAGTCTCGGAGGGTTAAGGGTATATATATTGTGTGTATATATATATATATATATATTAATAAATTAGGTCTTAGGTACTATGTGTATGTATATATATATATACACACATTCATATTATATATATATATACATATATATATATGATAAAGTTTCAAGTAACCAAGGGGCTCTCAGAGTCCTGGCTCTGGATTTAGGGTTTAGGGCAAAGCCGTAAGCCGTAGCAACAGCCATCACATCCAAGTAGAAGGCTGATCGCCAGAATAACAGAGACAAAAGCAAGACTCAAGCAAGAACTCGATTCAAACACTGCAAAACCCTAAACCTTCTCGTTGAGAGTGGCCCTAAGGTTTCGGTTGAGAAGTAACCGCAACTCCATAACCCCAAAGCCCTAAGTCCTTGGCCGTGAGGTGTGCCCGGGCATCACAAGGATCGCAACGGCGATGCGCGGCACGGGCTCATGGAGATCATGGTGCGCCCGTCAAACGAAAGCCTGCAGCAATAAACACCCTGAGAACTAAAAGCTTAAATGCTAACGTCGACATAGCCCTTAAGCTGGCGGTCTTCTGTTCAGGCTCGGGGGAACCTGAAACCCTAAACGGAGGCGTAGCTCAGAGCTAAGAGTGGTGGAGGTTGAGGCCAGTTGAGGCTGTAAAGTTCAGCTTTTTGCTGGGGTTGCTGTTACTATAGGGGCTTTCAGCTTTTGGGATTTCGGTTGGATGGGTTTCTGGGAGGCATCAGGGAGATGCTACTTACAGCTCTAGGGCCCCACGAGTCCTGGTGGTAATGTCCCGACTATGTAGAGGTAATCTTGGGTTTAGGGGTTTGGGTCCAGGGAGGGAGGTAATCTTGGGTTTAGGGTTGAGGGTCTTCAGGATTGCGCCCATCATCTCGACTGTTTACTTTATCCCACAACTTTCACAGTGATCTGTCGGATACATACTTACGCTTCCCCCTTTCCCATGCCCCCAGACTTCCGTCACTTCCGTGCAGCAGTTTTCCGAAAGGGCCTCGTCTATAGCACAAAGACATCCGCGGAGTCTCCAGTGCCCACCCTACATCCCCACCCCACTTCAAGGACCTTCGGGTAGAACGGGGCTCCCGAAGACAAAAAGACATTTAAACACGAAAGCCCAAGCCATGTAGGGTTTAGCCCTTTAGGATAGACCCTTTCAAAGCCAGACTACGCAATTTAGGGCTTATGCTCCTTGGAGGTTATTGCACGCCCCACGGTTCGTGGAAAGGTGACATTCCTGCCGAAGGCAGCCGATTGTCGGGGATCATCCTTGAAAGCTTGTATAGCGGCCCCGGTGCCCCGAAAAATCTTTGGAGTTTAGGATGGCTTTTGCGGCTGTCTGGATAATGGATGTGGTTGTAGAGGGCTTGGATTCATGAAGATTGTGGCTAGAGTCGGCCTTGGACTTCGACCGTTACGGTTTTATAGAACTTGCGTGCTGTTTGAAGCTTCATGCGTTAGGCCTTGGGGTCTTGCTGAATCCTAATCCAAAGCCCTAAATCACGACTTGAAGCCGGGTCTCGATCGTCGAGACTTCTGCCACTAGCGAGTAAAATCTGCGGAGGGATGGGCTGAGTTAGTGTGTTTGAGTTTGTCCGGATGAACACGTGTGTGAAGCAGTTGAAGCAGTGCCTGTAGAGGGCAACATTGTGTGCTGCTTTGGCAGCATCGTCTCTGCGGCGAGGGCTGGGCACTGTGTCGTGACGAGTGAGTGGGTGGTTAAGCTGCTCGAGTCTTGGATAAGGTCAAAGCTGGCTGGGATGAGGTGTTGCCTTAGTGCGTGTGGTGGCGCTGGTGTGTTAAGGGTCCTGGCCTTGGAGTAACCTTTCTGGTTGCTGCTGATGCGCGGGTTGTGCCCGCCTTCTGATTGCTGACCTGGGACCTGGTTGCAGTGAGGAAAAAGGGCGCCCCAATTCCTTACACCTTGCACACTAAAGCCCTAAATCCTAAACCCCTAAGCCCTATACACTGCACGGACGGGATCTCTGAAAATTGAACCCCGGAGCCCGGATTCCCTCACGCTACCAATTCCGCAACTTGAAGCCCGGCTGCCAGAGGACGTGCTGCAGCAGTGGGCGCCAGTGGGCCAAGAGGCCCCGAAGGGCATCCTTTGCTGGGACATCTCCGTGAGTTTCTGGAGCAAGCTCCTGAAGACGAAAGCCCTGCTAGGCTTCAGATCTGTTGAAGTACTTGGGCTCAAAATGGCAGTTTTGTAGGGTAGAGTTTGAGGGAGCATATTAGCAACATGGCATGGACTGTTGGGGGAACGGGGATGCCAAAGAGCGAAGTGACACTTCGCGGCTAGAGACTCGTGACAATGGGAACCAAACATTTCCTGCATTTGGGAACGTTCTTCATGCATCCAAAAATTTGGATTTCCGGCTCTACCGCCATAGACCTTGAACTGTAAAACCTATAAACCCTTGAAGCTTAAGCTTTCAGCCCTGTAGCCCTAAATGGCGACATTCCATTACATGGGAAGCGGAAGCAAACTCCAAGTTGAGATGAGCAAAATGGGTTTAGGTTAGGTGTCTCTGTGGCCCCAAGCACGACAAAACAGTAGGCTATGATCCCACGAGCACGTGAGCACGCCGGGTAGTGTAACTTTGCGAAACACTTGGTTATTGGATTTACGGTTTAGGTTCACATCCCTTGGGACCGTGCGCTATCCCAAGCATAAGTTCTGACGTCTGAAGTCTCCCCAAGGTCACCCACACCGTCCGGGCCACCCCCAAAGCCAGCCTAAACCTTACGGCCCTAAGCCCCAAACCAAAAAACTAAGCTATCGCCTGGCTTGCCCGAGTCTGAGCGCCAAAAGCGACAAGCCCAGTTTTGCCACAGCATCATAGCCCAACCCTCCAGGTACCTACTATATAGGGCCCTAGGGGCTCTATTACCCTATATAGTAGGTACCTGGGGGGTTAGGGATAGCCCACAGCCAGGTGGAGGTAACCGCCCTGAGTCGACTGGGCGACTTCCACATCGACGACGGAAGCGGGCCCTGGCTACGCCCCAGGGCGGAAGGAAGGAAGATGTTAAGCGTTACCCATAGGCCCCATAGTTCCTTTTTGGGATTACCTAATAGGATGCTAAATACAAACCAGAAAAGAAACTACTTTCGGGCCAGTATAGGGTTTCAATTCAGGGCTTCGGGTGTAGGTTTGACAATCAGCGGTTGGGCAGTATTGGGTTCAGGGGTTGATCGGCGTCTTCTGTCATGAGCTTGCAGAGTAAGCTGAAGCCCCTGCATACGAACGGGTCAGACTCTATGAACTTCTACGCAACATGTGCATCAAAACCAGCGCCAGGAGATGACACTGCGCCACGTATGCCGCCGATACCGGATATAGACCTCATAGGCCTTATAAACTTACCGTAAACGCTCTTGCTATCTCTTACTTCTATACCCCGAAACCCCTATATCAAAGTATATCATTGTAGCCTACAGCCCTCAACCTAGATCCAAAAAACAGTGCAACGCCCCCAGACCCCTATACCCCCAACCCCGGAACGTCCCAGACCCACAAATACCCTAAGTCAGATCTTGCCCCAGGGCTCGACTTACCTAAAAAAGTAGGCTACTAAGCAACATAGTACAGACCGCAGTAGCCCGTCTGACTTAGCTAACCGGAGCCCCAGAGTTACCCAGAACTCCAAGGTGATCGTATTTTGATCACCGCCTCAGAGGCAGAGGACCTGGCCATGACGGCTGAGGTGGCCTTCGGGAAACTTTGAGGTTTCCTTGCCTTTCCATGGGGGCCTGAATCACCAGAGCAGGCTTCTTGGTACGTTTTGGGGCTATGTTTTAGTACAGTCAGTTTCATAAGATGAAAGAGTATTCGGACAGGGGATATTCTTACTAGGTTTTTCGGTGTCTATATCTTGTTTAAGAGCCTCGTTACCTACATATTCGGGTTCTGGACTGTGATACCACAACAAGTTAACAAGGTTCGATAGGGTTTATAAGGAGCTGTAATGGGGGAATTGCAGAAGGCCGGCCTCGTTTGCATTGCAACGAGCTGCGGGGGTTCCAGGATCAATTGGCGGCGGGGGTTGCAGCTCGCCAACTTTGGCTGCAAGCAAACCCTAGACCCTATACCCCAAAACCCTATTCTAATGATTAAGGCCTACGTGCTGTAGAACCCTATCATAGATCCTTATAGAACCCTTTAAAGGATCCCCTTTAAAGGAGCCCTAAACCCTGAAGCTCTCACGCCGATTCGCATGAGTCCTGGCAAGCACAGGCCGTCGATGGTGACATCCAGCAGCTGCTGTCGGGTACCGGGCTTCGACCGGACCCCAGGCCTTGCCTTTCCCGATGTGGGGTCCTTTTTAGATTTTAGGGTTTAGGGTTTTAGGGTTTAGGGTTTAGGGTTTAGGGTTTGGGTAGTTCTCTAAATTAGGGTTCCTTTTAGGATCCTGTTTTTAAAGGTGCCGTACTATATTGGGGCCCTGAAAAGGGACCCTTATTTAGAAAACTACCCATGTACTTTGGTTTCAGGATCGCAGAACATAGACGACCTTCATTTAGAGCCTAGGGTTAGTGTTTAGGGTAGGGCATTTGTATGAAAAGTAGGATCTTTCCCATAAATTATATAAGGACCTCCGACTAAGTTCCATAGCTGCCCTGACTTTAGCAGCCCCCAGCATCTCCTGGGGAAGCCCTTCACGAGGCGGTTGCGACGTCAAGTATCGCCATAGCTAGCAGTGGGGGCACGAGGACCGAGGAAGGTGCTCCAACATGAGCAGCCCTTGTATACACAAGAGCCATCTGGGCAAGAGTGGCCAGTTTATAAATTCATGCCAGACCGGGGGACCTGCATCGTCTTGACCAAACCAGCGGACATCATCGATCTGAACGGCAGATTATGTTCTTGGTTCCTGCTCGGTTTACCTACAACGTCCCAAGTCATGTATTAGAGATTGCCTACACTGACGTGACGTAAAATCCTAGCCGAAATCTGATCATCAAGCACTTCTGCTGGCTGTCCGCACGAGAATGCTGAACCCTCGCAAACCCGAGGCTTGACTACCAGAAGATCCTAAACCGTAAGCAAACTCCGAAAGCGCAGGGTCGAGCCGCCTCCCTCTGACGAGTGGGACCTGGCGCGCGCCGGCACGCTCCACCGCGACGTGGGCACCAGCAAGCTCTGAGAGAAAAAGTTGGGCGTAGGAAACTCTTCATGGAATCCTGAATACAGGTACCCAATAGAGACCAATCCTAACCTTAATCAGATTCCTAATAATTAGGACCTTGCTGGCATGGGCGATCTTTGCGGCTACCTAATTCGTCTCATCGTTGTTGCAACTATGATATTGCTTTGGGGCCACTTCTGTTGTAGTGTTGTCAGCAATGTTTGGCAATACTCGGAGAGAGTACAGCGAGGGAGAGGCTTCCCATGCCACAGCCTGTCTCATCCTCCTATGTGACTGGGGCCCATGGGTTCTAGCACTTACAACAGGGCCCTGGGGGCAGAATTATACTCTGGGTATATTATATAGGTCTAGACAGTTAGGGATGACCTTGCCCATTT